ATATATGTTACACTTGGTCTTTACATATTAATACAATTTGAATAAACAAGAGTTATGGTTCCAATTACAGACTACTGATGGAAAAAAATTGTATAACAGTTTAAAATCCAATATATTTTAAAATCCAACATATTTAAACGACTCCACAAATGTATTCGATTTACACCAAGAGCAAAGAACCAAGAAACTTGAGTTTTAAGATAAACACTCAAAACCAATAAAGAAAACTACAAATTTAACAGATCATAAACCATGAAAAGACAAAAAAGATGGGTTTTAGAATGAAATTTCAACTGCTTACCCTCTTTCTTGTCCAGAAACTCAGATTAAAGTTGAATTAATACATGTATATATATATATATTTCAAAAAAACCCAAGAACATATTAATTCAAAATATATTATACAGTGCAATTTGGACAGCCTAACCCCAAAATATATAGTATATATATAAATAAATAACTATAAAAGTATAAATCGTAAATATTAAAAATATTTTTTYACAGTATATATAATRTATAATAATATAATTAAGTAAAAAACTATTCAATATTGAACTCATTTCGAAGGTATTAACGAGACGATTATAATGGTGTAACTTGTTAAAATAAAAATGTATTTTTTAAACATGTTTTAATTGATATACGATTATGTATGTTAATTTGATAAATGTTTAAAATGAAACATTTAAAATTAAAGAATCATAAAGTAAATTAATTAATTATAGGGGTATAATGTGTAAATTTAAAATTATAATTTAAAAAAAAATTGGTTGTGAGAAGGTGAGTGTATGTGAGGAGATGATGGGGTGAAAAAGTGAAAAAATATTATAAAGGGTATTTTGGTCATTTAAAATTTTAAGACTTTAAGACTTTTGCTAAATTTGCTTAATAAGATAGTATAGATATTATATGATGTGTTACACACATATATTCTTACAATTAAATATGCACATAAAATGAATAAATTGTTATCAGTATTTTACAAAAAAAAAAAAAAAATAGTATTATAGTTTGTGAAACATAATAAATAATTTATTAAGATTGTTTATATTATGGTTACACTTTGTGCAGATTTAGTTGTACGCATGTGTGCGTGGTGTATGTAACCGAGAGAGAGATGTACGACACTTGAATTTTCTCAAAATATCGTTAATATCAGGCTCGTCAATTGGGGGGTTAAATAGGAGAATTTGAACAGGGCCCAAAAAGAATACGGAGACCAGTTTTATATTTTCTTTTAAGGCACTGATATATGGATTACACAGCCCAAAATCCTGAATCTACACTCAACATCAAAACCCAAAAGCCGACTTTCTTCTAGTGTACGTCTACCTCATTATCAGGAGCGCCTCTTCGATCTTCTATTCCCGATTTGATGATTGAAATCCCCAAAGCTGCGTAACTACGAGTTTCTACTGGTTCGTCATTCTACCATTGATATCCAACAACCCCGTCAAAGGTTTTCATACACCTGTCACTCGAAACTGGTTCTTTTGGTACTCTTTTGTCGTGCAATTTGTAACAGGGCATCCAAAAAAATTGGAACGGCCCTGATTAATCTCGACCTAATTATCTCATTATTTATCTTAAATTAGTGGTTTAAGATGGATATCACAAATTTTTAGAGTTTTTCAAATGATTAAGGCTCGTTACATGATACTGATTTTACATAAATCATGGTTATTAATTAAAATATTTAAAATTTCTCAGTATCAATCAAAAGGTTCAGCCGAAGTTGTTAATCAGAGCATCTTTAACACGTATGTCATATTTTTATCTATTTTCTTTTTAAAATTTAGTGGAGATTTTAGCATAACTGTTATGCAATTTTGTTACATAATTTCTAACTCAGCTAATTAAAAACTACCATAAAATTGTACAATGTTTGTGACTAATAAAAATACATTTTTTTTTCTTCTCATTGACTAAGAAAATGACACTAACAGGATTCGAACTTGGGTCTGGGGTGAAATAAAAAACCTTGCAAACCAACTCTACCAAATAAAATTTGTTCTCATTGTAGTTTCAAAATACGTACGATGACACACAACAAATTAATACGGTTGTACCTTTCACGAACTTAAAATTTTGTACCTTTCGATAGAGGAATAATACGGGGGGCTTATTCATGTTCAAGTAGGGTTTCTTGCACCCGTTGAACTGAATTTACAAATACATTTTTTGAGGCATGAAAGAAGCATCTCTTAAATTTTGAGTCTGTGCTTCAGGATATTAAAGAATGTAAGAAACACCAATAAAAATATCAGAAAAGTCGATTGAAATAAAAAAAAATAAAAAATCTCTTGAAACAGTGGAATTCCACTATAAACTGCACATCAGACTATTTTACAGAATTTTTGATCCACTTTAAAAAGCACTCGTTCGACAAAAATCCTAGATTTGCTACTGAATATCCCAATTAAATGAGACTATTTATAAATCAACGTATACCATCAAATTCATGACATTTATTTAGAGAAAAATTGAATGAAAAAGTAACGTACTTTAACCTGAAAACTATTTTGGGTAATTTACTTTCATAACTTTCATTTTGATACCTAAGATGTAAAGTTTTAAACATTAAAGTATTCGGGTAACCGCTTGAAGACTAATTTTAGATTAAAAAAATCAATGTCACTAACACGTCAGCAAATAATACTGAGTTGGATACCATATAACTCGCCACATCAACATGATAACCGGTTAATGCTTCAATCGATTACCCGGATACTTAAATATTTAAACTTTACATCATAGGTACAAAAATGGAAGTTTTGAAAGTACGTTACCAAAAATAAGAATTAAATTAAAATACATTACTTTTTCATGCAATTTGTCATTTTTTAATATGACGAATTAATTGCATGGTTTTAGAAAAACATATAAAAAGTTTAATATTATTTTATGGATTTAAAAATAATATTTATTGATATGATACGTACGTGAGCTCATATGATAACGAATGTATTTGATTTTGTATGAAACATACTCCAATTGTCAATATTTCAAAATCTTTTTAGCCAAACCTGGTAAGCATTTACCGGTAAAATTTAACACTATCACTTACTTACCGAGTAAGACTTTAGTCACCAAAACGGCACCGTATGCAATAATTTACCCAGTAATCGTTTACTAAGGTAAGAGTCGTCGCTCTCACTTACCGGATAAGACTCTTGGTCTTTCTCTCGCTCTTACCGGGTAAGATTCTTAGTCCTTACTATATTCATCCGATAAGATAATGTAACTTGATAAGTGTTTATCTGGGTAAGCGTTTGGTAAACGACCCTTAATAGTTGTTTCTTTCATGGATTGTATTTATAAAGTGTATAGAAATAACCATATAATCTCAGTTTGTAAAGAGGGTGGAGTGAATATTACAAAATTTGATTTTTAGACCCCCGTTAGCTTTAACTGTTGAATGAGCCAAAAAATACCCCTTTAAATTGATATTTGAATTATTGAAAAAATCAATTTGAATATTCATCTGTGAATACTGTAACATTGGTTTACATATGCATTTTCAAATATTTCAGATTTTTTTCATTGGATTCATATTGTACATTTCCTTTAACTTTCTCTTCTCATCCCACTACAAAAATAAAGGGTTTCACGGACAGAAAAAATGCATCAATAATCCGCCTGAAAAAAACCATCGACAGATGGATCTCACGGCCAGTGATCATGATTAACAGTGGATTGCCCATCATTGGACTAAAAATCAATCAGTGTTCCACCATAAATCCGTCAAAAATTTACAACGAAACAATCTGTTGATAAAACGCCTTTATTTTATAACGTTTTACACAATATTTAATCATTATTATTTAAATTGCCCCCTACAAATGTAAGCATAAGGGTTGTTTGTTTATCTATTAATAGTTTCATTAAGAGACAACATCTGAATTGTTAATAGGCGAATCTTGTTTGGCAAAAAAAAACTGAATGATTTTGTATCATGAGTGTTCCTTAACCATTCAGTATCCTAATTCCTTTGTAAACAATTATATTTCATTTTACACTATATTATGAGAGCCTATTAATTATTCTAACAACTTAATCATTCTGCATCAAATCATTTAACAACTGTCAAACAACCCCTAAGTTTATTATTCTAGTAAGAAAAATTAAAAGAGAAACAAAAGTAAAATAATATGATTCATTTTTTTCTAATCTTGAAATATTATTGGTACTTAAAATAAACAAATTTGGAATATGACAACATCTCTAACATTTATATTATAATTTTTTTTAAAACAAAATATTCAAAGTTAAAATATTTAAAAAAAACTACAACCAAATCCAATAGCTACTCTATTTTAGCAATTCTATTATTAATTATATTATTAAAATATTCAATACATTTATAATAAAATATTATTTTCCTCTCCTAAACATTTAATTTCTATTTCTCCTGTAGGTGAAAAAAAAATTAAATGTTATTTCTCTCTCTCAAATAAGGAGTTTTAGGTGTTGTGTGGTAATTGCTGAATGGTTTGGTGTAAAATGATTAAGTGGTCAGAATGATTAAGAGGCTCTCATAATATAGTGCAAAATGAAATATAATTGTTTGGTAATTATGTAAAATGAAATTAGCGCTCTTAATGGTTAAGGGGGATCCAGGATAGAAAATCATTCAGAGGGTTTTAGAACCATTAAGAGGCAGACTTTTTTTTGTCAAACAAGATTCACCTTTTAACGATTCAGAATCAGATGTTGTCTCTTAATGAAACTAATAAGAGGTTGTCTCTTAGTGTAACTATTAAGAGGTAAGCAAACAACCCCTAAAGAATTCTCCAAATTTAGAGAAGTCTACGTTCTCTCTTTTCTTTTCTCTATTTTAACATACACGATAACATAATTGTTGAAACAAAAGAACTGTTAGTTTTCTCTATTTTAACACAGCTATAGAAGATGCTTTAATAATTAAAAAATTAAACATGTCACATGAACCCTTTACAAAAAATATATATTTTTATATATACTTGGATTTAATTTATTCCCATATCATGCTATGTTACAAGCAACTCAAACTATAATCACAAGAAATTGATTCGTAATCCGATTTTGATTTTGATTTTTTCCTCTTAATTAATACAAATAAAATGCATGTAAACCAATTCTATACACCAATTAAATTGCAAAATGGGTGCTTGTATCAAATTTAAAATGGGATTTTTGTGGGAAAAAAATCCAACAAAAATGACTTCAATGAAGATGTTGAGGATGCTGCTCAGGCCATGGCCAAAAAGCCGGTTGATCTTCGATAGCGTTGAACATGTTGCAGAAGCTTTCGTTACCAACCGTTTGGTTTAGCCGTTGGTTCAGGAGATCGGTGGTCGAAGGGTTTTGAAGGAGTTGAGTTAGACCGGAATTCGGCCCGATGGATGACGTCATATTGGGATAGATGTTGTTTGAAATCTGGGTATAAAATATTGGGCTTTCTTCTGATGGTGTCATGGTGCCAGTCACTGTGTTCAGATCGCAGCTGTTTTCGCTTCCATTACTCCATGATCCTTCTGTTTCCTTGTTTAGATTGATGGGTCTAATCCCATTTGATTCTCCACCTTTTACAGCTAATAACTGAAGAACAAAAATGGAATCTTGATGGCTGAATGGATGCATCATGTCTTTTTATCTAATTCTAGAATTACACCCATACCCATCTGATAAAGATTTGATTTTTGAAAGAAGTTTGAAACAGACATAGGGTTTTGGCATTACCCATGTGATTAAGCTTCAATCTTTGAGAGAATTAAGCTATGGCTTAATTAGCAAGATTATATATATATATATATACACACACACACAGACAATATCTAATGATATCTTAATCCAATTCTAGAATTACCCAAGTGAAAAAAGACATGATTTTTGAAAGAAATTGGATAAAACACAGGAGTTTTCACATTGCCCTTGTGATTAAGTTTCAATCTTTGAAAGAATTAAGCTATGGCTTAATTAGCAAGATTATATATATATATATATATACACACACAGAGAGACAATATCTAATGATGTCTTAATCCAATTCTAGAATTACCCATGTGAAAAAGACTTGATTTTTGAAAGATTTTGGAAGAAACATATATAGGATTAGGATTTTGACATTACCCATGTGATAAAGTTTCAATCTTTAAAAGAAACTATCAAATTAAGCTATGAATATATATGTATATAATACCTCTGCATGAAGTTTCTTGTTTAGGTTCTTGAGAGCATCATTATCTGCTTTAACCGACTCGAATTGTCTCTTCAAGACATCATAATCTTTCTCCAATTGTTTGGTCTTCCATCGAGCCCTTCGGTTCTGGAACCATATGGCTACTTGCCGCGGTTGCAACCCAAGGGCTCGCGCCAGTTGAGTCTTCCTCTCGGGTTCGAGCTTGTTTCCCAACTCAAAGCTCTTCTCAAGAGCCTTAACTTGCTCCAAATTCAGCCTTCTTTTCTTCTCCCCGAGCTGTGATCCATCATCTTCCGACATATCATCATCCGCACCACCACCACCACCACCCGCACGCGTTTCTTCGCACCTTTCCATCCCGGAATACGACATAGATCTTCTCATCAAAAGTGTCTGAACACCTGCATCCAAACAACCAATCAACCAACTTAATTATATATACAATAAACCCTAATTCATACAGACAACTTAAGCCATACATACATACAGCGTCTGAATTATGCTTGGTTGTCAAGAAACGTATACATGCAGATCTAGAGAGAGAAAATGAGAGAGAGAGAGAGAAGGAACCTTGGAAATCATGAGGAGGGTGGTGGTCATCTTCATAGCCAAAAAACATGGGTTCAGGTGGGAGGAAGGACATGTCAGTAGTGGAAAAAAGAAAAGCCTTTTTTTTAATGTGTAAAGTTAGGCCAATGTCACAGAGCTCTCAGGCAGCTTGATAGCTGTCTCTGTGTGTTGTTCTGACTCTTATGGGGATGGATCTTGGATGTGGAAAGGAACATGGGGGTGGCAAAGACACTAGAGATACAGCAATAACCTCTTTTTAAACCTCGAGGAGATAAGAGATGGGGGTGAGG